CTTTCCCTGCCATTCTTCCTTTTATGTTGTAATGATCAGGAGCCACTCATTACTCTGAGTTCACAGCATGATTTGGATGTTAGTTTTCTTCTGCTTGTCTATATTATTTTAGATAATTTACTTGTTTTTATCTTAAAATACCATATAAATAAATGCACTGCATAAATATCAATAAATTATTTTTTTCTGACTAATCCATTACTGTCCTGGAAATCGTGAATGAGTCAATGAGGAAAATAGAGAAGTAATGAAAGATGTATAAAAAGTTAGTTTTCCCTAATTTTCAAAAATAGTTTCACAGTTTCCTTAGGTGATTCTGAAGCCCACCATGTTTGAAAACCTGGTGTAGCTTCAGTTCCCRTGGTATCCAACATTATTCCTTTTTGAAATTAATCTACAATGCTTCAGCAATTATATTCTATGAGTGGTGTACATGACTTGCATTCTTTCTGGTTTGACATAGAGATGGTATGGCAAACATGCTAGATACTTATATTTGTCATTAGAAATTAGAATGGTGTTTTAAGATGAGGAGTATTTCCCTAGATTTTAACAGAAAGTCCTTAAACCACCAGTTTCCAAGGCCTGAAAGAATAAACTAAAGGGAAGATTGTCCTTATCATGTCCAGTGTTTTTCATCCTTTCAATAAGCAGCTGCTGCTGAACCCTTCTGGAAGCAGAGTACTGATGTAGATGGATACTGGTCTGAGCAAAGCAGGGTTCCTAGATGTCAAACACCAGCCTTTCTTTTCAGTCTGTATTGTTAATGCCTTTTTGCATCCTCTGCTTCAAACCATTACAATTTCAGGAATTGGTTTGGTTTCTATTATACTCTTGTGATCTTCCTTGATCTCAGAGAGATGAAAGGCAATATGTGATGGCATTATTCACAGTTTGGACAGTTACTTGTAGAAGTGCTTCAAAGCTGAGTGTAGGTTTGACACTGTCCTGAGAACTATTTTTTGTTTGTGGTATAGATATGACTCATAACAACCCTAATTGCATGTTTAATCGTGATATATTATAAAAGATTATTTAGCTCCAGAATGTGATCCAGAGCATATAAAAATTAGGATTAGATTGTGTAAATAATGTTTGCATTAAAAGTCKACTTTTCATCAGCTTATTCAGACCCAATTAAAGTTAGCAGAACCATTCTCACTCATTTTGTTGCATGTAGGATTGAATGCTGTTTCTGAGACTACAGAAGTTTAATGCTTCATATAAATAGTTATAACATTTTGCAAAAGAAGCAATAGCACGAATGCTTAAAAAAGCATCAGTAACAAAATGAAAAAGACTATATATAATATGCCACAAAAAAAATATCCCCAAGACTCCAGAGTTTATTAATGAGCAGAAAAATCAAAGGAGGTACCCTCTAGGAGTAGTCTCTCAAAAGATAAAAAATGCTTTGTGAATTAGTTTAAAAACTTTTGGATCCTAATGGATAAATGGAAACAGCTAATGACATGAAAATTTTATTATTAAAATTCAGAAAGAAAACCCCAACCCCAAACAGGTTCACACCTCCTTCTTCTTGAAGAGTGATAGCATGGATAATTGTATTGTGTTTAAAAACCTAAAAATTTGTTTCAAGCAAGTTAACAAAAAAATAGTGTAAATAAAAAAGTCTATGTATATTTTGTGTGCTTGTGAAACTTGAAACTTAGAGTAATTAATATGATCTTTTTGAAACTAACACTGAAAATAAAGTATGGAGAATAAAAAAGCATAAAAGATATCTTCAAGATAAACTAATGTGTTAAATCAACTGTATGTGATTTTCACATATGTGTAAAGCCAAACTGTATACTCCAGTATTTCGGGAATTCCTTTATTTGGCTTCAGAAATAGATATAAATATAGTATGCCTGTAGCTGCTTATGTAGACCTGTTTATGTATACAATCAAAAACTGTCATTTTATTTGCTTTGTAATTAATCCCATTGGGGATTTTTTTGTTCATCTTGTTTTTTTCTCTAGGTAAACGGTATCAGTACAAACAGATCTAGTTTTTAGCCTTCAGTGCTGGTAAATCTGTCATAAACTTTTCTTTAGGACTGTTTATAGGGAAGGTATGGACAGAAGTTTCTTGAGCTTAGTGATGTGAAAATGTCCAGGGGAAACATAGTGGAAGGATGTATTTGAAAATCAATTGCATGTTTATTTTTGTGGAGAAAGCAAACATCAGTGTGGTATATTTTTATAATATGCTGTGCATTCAGAGGAGTACCAGATGTGCTTAATGATAAATCAGTTATCTTTGTTTTATTGTCTTGCATATTTTTACCTTTGATTCATACTTTGATATTTTTACTGATATTTCTTTTCAACATTTAGGGCATTGAAGTACATTTTGCAGGCTACAAAAAAAAAATACACTAGTAATATTAAGTTAATTAAGGGCAAACACTGGGCTAGGAAAATATTAATCAGAAATGTTTCAACATAGATATTAAKAGAAAAGAACCTTAATTGGGCTGTGGTACAACTATAAAGCAAAATATTTAAATCAGTATACTGTTAGGTGATTTTTGTTCCAAAAAATTGGCTACAGCTTTAGAGTGTTATTTCTCATCAGGATTTTTATTTTTGTTTGTCTCTCTGTTTGCTTGTTGAATGGTTTTTTTTTTTTGTGTGTGTGATGTTTTTTCTGTTTATTTGGTTTGGTTTGGTTTTAGTTTTGGGAGTTTTTTGGTTGGTTGGATTTTGGTCTTTTTTCTGTTACATATTATTTCATCAGAGAGGTAAAAAAATTCAGATAAGTATCATGAAGCTTGGCCTGAAATCTGACATTAGAGCTTGGATAATATTCACTGCTACTGTAAGACATTTAAGTATTCAGGTAAATAATGGATACATCTTTGTACATACCTATTAAATTGATTGACATTTAAAATGTACAAGAAGTGGAAGTCGACCTCTCTCCCACCTATATTGATTCTTTTGCAAATAGAGGAGGAAACAATTATTTCCAAAWTTTTTTATTTTCATACACCTGTATATACCAACACTGTTGACTGGATTGTATGCCCAAACTTGGAAAATAAGTGAAAAATTCTCATCTGAAAAGCTAAAAATATTATTTGCATAGTGCAATTGAGAAGTAAAATTAAATACAAGCAGGAATAATATCTATTTTTACTGAAAGTTTTCAGTCAGATGTTGTACCATTTTCATAGCTTTTCTTTTTCATTTTGCCCATAGCCCCAAAGCAATTGTAAAATTCAAGGTGTTGTGCCTTTGTCTGTGCTGAGATACTAATTTGTCAGTCTTCTAGCTTCAAATTATAGCAATTTCACATATTTAATTGATCACTCTAGGGATTTGACTTCTGGAATGGATTTTTTTTTAAAGGAAAATTGTGTGAATCAATCCCTCAGGGGTTATCAGCATAAGAGTAATCACATCACTGAAGAGAGGTAAATTAGTGGGTTGTAGATAACTATGAAAGTTAAAGAATGTGATACATTTTATTTGTCGCATGCCTCTGCAGTTTCTTTACACAGATTTTTTAACATAACTGAGACAGGAGGAATGATAAAATGGATAATGTTATATATTTATCATGGATTGAAATGCTGAGAAAGGGAAGAGTGGTAAAGAGACATTATCTGTTAATAATGAAGGCACAGAGTTTTTCCAGATTTATTAAATAAAGGAATGAAACCCAAAACATACTGTAATCAAATAACAGGGAAGTCCAGAAGCATAGAATCAATCAGATGTAAGAATTCATCCCTTTTAAGACATGAAAATAAAATAAAAAATTATTATTTTTCAAAGCTTGGTCAGATTGGAAGCAGAAAGAGTGGCCTTACAGCCACCAAATTGTGTGACCACACCTAAAGTAACCTGAAGTTACGAAAGTGCTTGGAATATGATTATTTTGTCTCTTGGAATTTCAAAGGGCTTGACAGATCTTCTTGTTCACCAATCTAAGACCATACAAAGTCTTGTTTACATAAACTACACAGTAAGGTAACCAAACTTAGGTTAATTTCTCAGGGTCAGAAATCAGAACAATCTGAAATATTTTATGAATGAGAGAAAGCTAGTCCAGTTTTATAAATCAGACATTTTCAAAGGAATGAACCCCAGGCTCTGTGCTATTGAAGAAAGAAGAACCTGAATTACTGAGCCCTGTAAGTCAAGCCAAATTCTCCAGCAGTATTTACTTAYGGCGTGGGTGTGATTTGCTTCTCTCACTTATCAGAATATATTGAAAGAACATGTGGTAAAAAGCATCAAGGACCTATAAGAAAAACAAGTCACTTATAGGTTTGGTTTGAAACAAAGTCTAGATTTTGTTTTTATGAAAGAAAACTGAATTCTGACTAAAAGTGCTAGAGACACCAGTCAACAACTAATTCTGTTGCCCTTCTTCATTCCAAACATGATTTTAGTTTCCCATTTATTCCATTACATCAAAAATAAAAATGCTTAATTGAAGCAATAAATRCATATAATTTACTTTTTAAACCCCAAATTTTAATGAAAATTACTTACCAATTCAGTTCAACAAAAGCAAGTTTGACAGAATTAGGCACCTCTACATCTGGACATAAACCACCCAATTAGTCAAAAACAGCACACAAAGCTTTTCATGTACCTTATGCCTTTAAGTATTGCAGGTCTATATTTTTTCAGTGTTTGGCGGTATTTAATAATAATAGCTTGGGTTTACTATCAATGTTGGAATARCATTACAGGAATTTGCGAAGGAGGGGATGCATCTTTTTTACATAACAAAACCAAAATCCAAAAAGGACTCCCACAACCCACAAATACTGTTGATCTGACTTGTTTAAAATAAAACATATAGCACACCATCTACAAAGGTGCTTTGAGTGTGATTGCTCTGCAGGTGGCAGTTCTAATATACAACTTGAAAACATGTACAAAGTATGGAAGACAATTTAAGAGAGACTTTGCAAAAGTTATCAAAACGAAACTGATTTTATCAGTGCACTATTTGACTTTTCTCATTCATGCAGGCTGCATTAGAGGAGGAATGGCTAACTCTAGATTCCACCCGTTTCCCTTCAAAAACACTCCTGCTCTCAAACCAGCTGCACTGGCCAAAGGTAACGTCACAGAAACAACATAGTCTTCAGTCTTTATTAATTCCTTAAGGATATGCTATTCTGGGGTGATTAATATGACAATTTAGTGACTTAAAAACACAATAACTTTTAGAAGTCTCAGACTTCCTCCTCATCTCCAGATGCAATTTTTCTTTTAGATTTTCTTTCATTTGCTTTATTTTTTCTTTATTTTGGATTTATTTCAACACTTTACTTCACAGTAGCAGAAAAAAAGATGATATTCTTCATCTGCGCATTTGGCAATGGATTAAAAATTGCTAGTTGACAAGCTACTTAAAAAATACTAAGATCTGCATTATATGACAACAGCTGAATATTTTCAGAACAGCTAAAGGTCATTGATGTGTAATGTCTGCTAGATATTTTATAAATTTTGAAGTTTGGGCTTTTTGTTTTTGTAGGGTTTTCTATTCTTATTACAAGCATAATATTACTAGTGTTTTGTTTCCTATAATTAAGAGAAAGGAGTCTTATACATGTATAATTTATTATGGGGCATGTTAAGTGTAGCTCAAGTCACCTTTTTGTCCTATTTAGTTAGTTGAAAATAAGGTCTGTAATGGGCATATCACATTAAGAATCCCTTTGGTTATAAACTCTGCAAACCCTGGTGCAGGTTTTCCTGCACATTTTAAACTCAAACTTAAGAGCGACAATCAGCTGCATTCCTTTTCTTTCTCTGAGAAGTTTTCCAGGCCTTCAGATTCCAATGAACTTTCAAATAGTTCACCATTGTCACCACAAGAACTTTGGCAGTGTGCTAACAGACCACATTCATACTCAGCAGAAAATATCCATTTTTATAGCAGGTAAGTTAAATTATATTTTTTAAAATTATATTTAGTTCATTTGGACTTGACAAAAATTAAAAGAAGAAGATGAGGCTATTTTTGATGCTTTTGCTACTTTTGGGTGATGTGATATTACTGGAATGAAGAAGTATTTACTGACTAAAACCAAATATATTAAATTCAGTTGTTATTTTTCATTGACCACCAATATTAAGAATATAAGAATTTAAGAATATATATGCATAGTTTTATTTGTTTAGGTTTTACTATAAATCATAAAACTTCCATTTTTTCACATTTCTTATGAAATAGATGTTGAAATAGAGATTTTTAAGACTAGATAAAGATTAAAAGGGATTTCTTACACAGCTGCATTCTGTGAAAGGACTGAAATATGCTTCAAGTAATTGAAATGTAAACATTTCAAATTGATGGCAGACTTTTATTACCCTCCAAGATAAAACCTTCATGGGGTATTAAACCAGATTTTTTTTGTATCATTTCCAAGCTTCAAAAGTGCCTTTAAAAGGCACAAACAAGTTGCAAAAAAGCAAAGGCTGCAAAACAGTTACCCCAGACCCTTTCTTGCTTACTTTCCTTTCACTACTGCTCTTATACTTTGTTCCAGATCAGGGAAGGAAACAATGTCACAGCTTTCTAACTGGAACAAAAATAAGAAATTTTTGATTATGTCTGAAAAAGAAGAGAAGATATCAGAAGAATGGTATGTTAACCTCTTTTGCTTACACGGTGACTTCCAGGAATAGGTATAGTACAGTTGGCTGCTGTTGCTCTTTTTACGTTCCACCTTTGTGGAATGTCTGTTTTCTAACAAAGTAAAAATTATTGTAATTATTTTTGTGTCTGGGAAACTATCTTAATATGTTGCAGTAATGAAATGTTAAGATAAGAATTGCAGCTGTGTAATTCAGAAAGTTTCATAACATGGATGAGTACTACACACCAGTATTCTTTTCAAAAATTGTATTATAAAATAATACGCAGCTGGTGTAACATAATACATGTGAAATATTTAGTAAGCTATTTTCTTCCCTTAGGGGCTTTAAGAATATTTCTACTGCACAGCTAATGCTGAAAAGGGCCCATAAAATGAAACCTAAAAAATACAGAAATACAAATTTAGGTAAGTCAACAGTTAAAATAATGGTTATATTGATGTAATTTTCATGTTCTTAAAATAGGGTCTCTCTTCTAAAAACTTTGCCTGTGTGCCATTAAACATTAATTTGAATAAAGGTGGAGTGTGATTCAGTAAAAACAACTCAGTGTAAATCAATATATTTAAATTTTAAAAAAGATTCTACTGGATTTTGAAGTTGAATATTTGACAGCTATGGTAGACAGAAATTTTATTTCTTCCTCTTCGTGTATCTCTTTTTCTGGGTGTGGAATTTATATTTCTACTTTGTGCTTCTTGTATTTTCTCCTTGGGAAAATTTTAGGTTAAACTTATTTACTWAGGCAAGAATTATTTATGAAAACAGCAATTTGATATATTTGAAATTAATTTTTTTTTTTAGTTGTATATTTACTGTGAAAATAGACAAAGCTTATCCAGATTCTCATSCAGCTGTCTTCTAGCTCTTCTCAGATTCTTCTAATGTCAATGAACCTTTCTTAGAATCATTAATTGTTAGTATGATTATGCTAATAAAATTGCTGGAATATATTAATAAACATGTTAGTCAAATACAGATAGTTTAAGAAACATTTAAACATTTAAGAGCCTAGTTGAAAAAAGAACCAGACACTAAATGGTCCTTAGAAGATGTACCCTTATCTACATATATTTTTAATCACAAGCTACACTCTTCTGCATAACTTTGCAAAAYTCTTCAGTATTAAATGTTGAAAGAATTGAAGGATGTTTTGCTTCTTGAAGGGAAAAAAAAACAGCCTGCAGATATATTTAAGCAAAATTTTTCTCTGTATAATTTTTTCTACTTTAAATACCATGCTTATGACTAAAACTAAGTATGAAAAAAATTATCTATAGTTAAAAAAAATAAAGGGGAAAGAGATAAAAACACATGTTATCAGTAAATAATACTTTGTGGAAAAGAGCGTATATGAATAAGAGGTTCAAGTTATTGTATTGAAATCATGGCTTCCTATGGTTCCCTACCATGACACCTATTCAAAAAAAAAGAAAGAAAAAGTAATAAGTATCTGGTATGAAGCTGAGTTTTTTTAATATATATTCCTGTTTGCGACCTCTGTGTAATTTTTCAGTGAATAAAACTTATTAGATTGTATCTTTTTTTCTCCATATGCTGGCTGTCTTACATAAGTAATTAATCCAGTCATAGATGTCTGATTGAGTATATCAAATTTGCTATCTTATTTTTGTTGTAGTTCTAATGGATTTCTGGGATATGTTTATGTTCACTTTGCTCAGATTATTTAATATGATCTATGGGTGTTGAGCTTTTTAATGTAACACTTGGAATATTCTCAAAGATTGCTAGTTCTAAAAAAATTGAAAAAACTTTTGCCCAATGTTTTTAAAGTTTCAAATTTTCTCCTCTTGACACTACCTCATAGATTCTTTTTGCCTTTCTGACTGTTACCTCAAGCACAGAAATAACCTGTATGGTTAATTGCCTGTATGAAGTTCTCTGTCAGTCATTAAAATCACWTTTTTTTTTCATGTGAACAGAAAGCATAGTTTCCAGAACCAAAAAATGTGACTGAAAGTATTTTACTTCATCCCTTTTCAGCAAAAACGGTTATCAAAGTTGACTGTTCTTTCTCATACTGCACACTGACCGTCAGTCCTTCCTTGGTCAGTAAGGATGAAATGGATATTATCCATCAAAACAAGTATTTTCGTATTAAACTGATCTTAAAGCTCAGATCTTCTACTAAAAAAAATTATCCTGATCAAATATTCTCCATGTCAGAAGAATCTCCACAAATAATTATGTTTTCCATCAGCTACATCCTCTGAAAGTGGTGAGGGTAAATGAGGATCTTTTTGAGGTCTGGTGGAATAGAGGGACTTTTCAGTATTTAAATTAGAGTAGATACACCTTATCCTGAGGTTAGTCAGCTCCAGATCAGGAAACTGTAACCAGACCCATTAGGCTGCCAGTATCTTTCTTGGATCTCAGTGTGGTACAGCTCATGCTAGGTTACTTTTGGCAATTTCAGTGTAACTAGGGAGAGACAGTTCACAGTCTTAGGCAATTGCTTTGAATTTAACCCTACTGAAGCAGGTATTCCAAAAGAGACTTTATTCCTTCTAATATTGAGAAGCAGATTTAAATTAATCTGAAAAAGTAAATGTCGATATTATCTTTTAATGTTTCCATAGAAGTTGCTATCCTATTGCCTTCATCTCTGGTTCATTAATCTTGTACTTACTGATGCTGTATATGATAAGTCATAGGATTTAGTTTTAGCAATACTATGTCTGGTCTTTCTTTTGAATTTAGGTCTTCAGTGTTATGATTACAACTGTTTCCGTTTTAGTTTTCTAATTTAAAATAATAGAATGGTATGCAAATGGCAAGAAAAGAATTGTTTTTGTGATAAAAATTCATACCCACTAGAAAGTAAGTAATGAGCATCCATTTAGAGGTGGGAATAGTAAGCTATAATTTTTGATGTTATATATGAATAATAAGCTATAATTTTTGATGTTATATCTACTTGCACATCTGACTTCGAAGTAAAACTTTTAAGTTCTGAGAAAATGCAAAGCAACAACTGCCCAGGTTCTAGACGCAAATACATTATTAGCTAATCACATTAARCTGGTAGCTTTTATGTTGTGATTTCAGTATAAGCCCAGACATCTTTTATATGCTATTGAACATTCTGTGTAAGGATCTCATACTTGAAGGTAGTGATAAGGTGCTAATGGATCTTCTAGGAACAAATTAACTGTCAGAGTATGTTTTCTGCTCCCATATGCTATCACACTCTTTTGCCTCAGACTTGAGATTGACAGTGTGTTAACTTAGCTTGCATTCAAACAGTTTTGCAGTTGCTCTTTAATATTGTCAGTCTGGATCCTGGACTGGATAGTCTTGAATAGCTTTGATTCTTAACGTGTTCAAGTGTGGAAATTAATTCCTTTTTATTTTCCATCTAAAATGTTTGTCTTCTACTAGTGCAACAGTAATGGTATGCATTTGTTAATTATAGAAGTCCACATCTGAGTTAGTCATCTTCATTGTTTTATGGAAAGAAATTTCCTCTTCAAATTTAATTCAAAAACAGGCTACTTGAGCGTCACTGTAAAAGCATTTATGGTTCTCCAATGCTAGACACAAAACCTAGAGTGAGTTGCTGAAGTACAGAGTCAGACCTTAGATCTATAGAAGTAACAGAAGTATTTTACCTCCTATGTCTGGCCACATAAAGAAAAAATAAAAAATATTCTTTCTCAATAAAGAAAAAAATATGGAAAACACTAACAAGTCCACTGAAACCTGTGGTTTTTATTACAAAGGAGAGCTTAAAGTAAGCATGGCCTTATAATAGGGAGTGGTTCAGACAAGGTTTATATTGCAGCTGACCAGTCCCACCAACTAATGGCCTTAAGGCCCATATGCCCTAATCCACTACTGTTGGGTATGCTTGTTCATGTAAAGACATTTGTGACCTGTATTTTAATGATACCAAATCTATGCTATGTCTGCTTCAACTATTTTTACTATACAGTAAGATAATACTAAAAGCATGGGCAAGAAACCAGAAAATTTGCCGCCAAGTAAAACTGGCATAATGTCAGAAATACTGCAGTTTACCTGGCTGCATAACATTATATGGAAATTCTAATTCAAAATCTAAATATCTACACATTATTGCACCTCACTGCACTTCAATATTAGGTGACCGCTACTCATAACAATCCTAGCTTCCTACCCACTTCCAAGATGTCTTGGCACAATAGTACCAAATTTCTTGCTTAATTTGGAATTTCCTTGGTTCTGTGGATTTTATATTAGCCTCTCATAGTTAACTTCTTTTTCTTTTAAGATGGCTGAAAGCTTGTCTCTCCTACACTGGTGTATTACTTCCAGTTTAACCTTTTCTTCTCCAAAAGCAGTTCTCTCATCAGTGGATCAGGCCCAACCAGCATGGGTTTAGAAAAAGCAGGTCCTGCTTTGATCTCATTTTATGATCCGGTGACTCACCTGCTGGATAATGGAAAGGCTGTAGATGTTGTCTTCCTGGAGTTCAGTGAAGCCTTTGATGCTTCCTCCCATAGCATTCTCCTGGAGAAGTTGGCTTGGACAGATGCACTCTTTGCTGGATTAAAAACTGTCCGGATGATCACAGAGTGGTTGTGAATGGTGCTACATCCAGTCGGCAACTGRTCAATAGTGGAGTTCCCCAGAGCTCAGTATTGGGGCTGGACTGTTCAGTATCTTTATTGATGATCTCAAGGAAGGGGTCAAAGGCACCCTCAGCAAATTTGCAGATGCTAAATTGATCTGCTGGAGGGCAGGAATGCTCTGCAGAGGGATATGGGCAGGCTGTATTGATGGGCCAAGGCCAATTACRTGAAGTTCAACAAGGTGAAAGTGCTGGGTTCTGCCTTGGATCGTAACACCACCAGGCAGTTCTGCAGGTTTAGCGAACAGTGGCTGGAGAGTAGCCCAAAGGAAGAGAACTCTGGGTGCTGGTTGACAGCCAGCTGAACATGATCCAGCAGTGTGCCCAGGTGGCCAAGAAGGCCAGTGACACCCTTGTTTGAATCAGCAATAGTGTGGCAGCAGGACCAGGACAGGATTATCCATCCCTTATTTTTGAGACCACAACACAAATCCTGTGTCCAGTTCTGGGCCCTTCACTACAAGAAAGTGCTGAAGCGTGCTGGAGCATGTCCAGAGAAGGGCAACAAAGCTGGTGAAGGATCTGGAGCACAAGTCTTGAAGTGACAAGGAGCCACTGAAGGGACTGGGGTGGTTTAACCTGGAGGAGAGGAACCTTCGGGGAGACCTCATCATTCTGCACAACTCCCTGAAAGGAGGTTGTAGCCAAGTGGGGATTGGTATCTTCTCCCAAGCAGTCAGTAACAGGACAGGGGGAAATGGCCTCAAGCAGTGCCAGGGAGGTTCAGGCTGAATTTTTTCACTGAAAGTGTAGTTAAGCATTGGAACAGGTTGCCTGGGGAGATGGTGGAGTCACCATCCCTGGAAGCATTCAAGAAATGACTGGATGTGGAACTTAGTGCTATGCTTTAGTTGACATGGTGGTGTTTGGTCACAGGTCAGACTTGACGATCTTGGAGGTCTTTTCCAAACTTAATGATTCTATGATTCTATGCTAATACTTGATGTTGCATAGGTGTGGGGAAAAAAAGGTAAAAAGCAGCTGGAGTCGACTTTGATCACTAGAACCACAACACAATGTTAAGGACATTTCATAGAGAACAGCAAATATCTTTTAGTCCAAGTTTAGAGTTTTAGGCAGCAATGCAATTCTAATTAAAAAATTAAATGAAACCCAATAAAAAACTCAACCCACCACCCCAAAGCAGATGTTCTGACTTAAGAGTCAGAATAAAAATTTGAGGCATATTATTAATTCCCTGTTGTACATTACATAAATGATCATTGATCTGTATTTTCTTTGTAACAGAAAAAAATCTAATTCTGTTGTGATTGTGAGTTCCATGTAGCAGTATTATCTGTGAACTCTAGCCATGGATGAGTTGGAGTTCTAATTACTGTGTAATTATGTAACAAAATCTGGTCTTTCCTGCAAATGAATTTACATTATAGACAAGCATCTGTCGCTGTGTGTCTTATCATCTCTTCAAAGTTGTCGCATTATGTTTATGTTTTCCTAATTACAGATGTTGCTCAATAAAAATGAATGGCTAACATTTTAATTTTACAGTTTCACATATTAATGAGAAGTTTAGAAATGTGGTGCCAGATCAAGCAGTAACTATTCCTTCCATATTGTTTCCATAACATATCTTGTGTTTGTCCAACTTAACTTCTATATTTGGAGGCAGCCAAGGAATGTACATTAAATTACCTCCCTGGTTTCTAGATTGTGAGCACAGATCATCATCTAATAAGCCACATTTGAATGAGTATGCCAGAATCCAGGATGATATTTGTACAATTTTGAACTATTGGACTCTTTCACAGTTCTCTGTGTGAAATCTAAAACATGATTGCTTGTCATCAAAGCATACATGCAGTTCATTTCCCTAGCTCACTCGGGGACTGAAAAGCACTAGTATTATGAAGTAATCTATGTAATATTGCTACATTTGGGACTAGATAAAGAAAAGGACTCATTTTTAATAACAAAAGAGCTGTAGGCAATGGTTGGGATGATCCAGGTAGGTACAAATTCAAGTAGTCTGTGTTACAGGCACTGTGTTAAATCCACGTATATTCTTTAAGTTATTTTGCAAAAATTCAAAGATAAATCTTCTGATAGAAGTCTCTTAGGAGAACAATTTCCAATATTTACCCTTCTTCCCAGTTCATGGAAGACTTTACTGATGATATCTTTTTGCACAACTAACTGTTTAAGACTTGGGACTAACAACTTTTTATGACTTCACCAAAAAGTCTGGTCCTTTATTTCTAGAAATAAGAAAACCAACCAACAACAAAAGCTATTTACTTTCCAGCAGTGTTATTGTGGTCTTAGAAACCCTCTCAATAATCACCAGTAAGGACATGTAACAAACTCAAAATGAAGCACCAGACATAATCATTCATTTCAGTGGATTCTTTCTGAATGCTCTTTGAGTCCTTCCACAACCGGTTTTTCTGCTCTTTCTGTTCTGGTGGTGTCTCACATATTCATTTTTGCTACACTTGCATTCTTAGTGAAAATTTAGATTCTTCCCTTGCTATTTCCACTTTCTTGATAAGCTCCATTGTTTTTTTTTTCTTCCTTGTTACTAATTTCTACCCTTTTCAGAGAGTTTTTGGTCACCCTTGTAGACATATATCTTCTGCCTCATTGCTTCTCAGATATTCCTGAAAGTGCATGTATCTGCTTGGGCTACTGTCTTCTTTTAAGCAAGTCAAACATATTTATTTTATCTTTTCTTTGCCATTCTCATGTTACCTTTCTCAATGGTATATAAAAGCATTATGTACTATAAAATTCTATATACTTATGCTCATCATTGTTTATCTGCTTTTGTTTCTACATTCCTTTCAGTCCCTATTTTTTTTTTTTTAATATATCGCTGGTTTATTTTTCATTTTGCCCAGAATTTTCACATTCCTTTTAATCTACTCTTTACCTTAAACTCATCTTTCCTTTTATTGCAATCATATCAGAAATAACGTGAAAGTCATCTCTCCTGACTTGTGTGGTTTTTGTATCAGTATAGCTTTAGTTAATTAATATTTTTACTAGTCTATGAATGCGTCTTTCCTAGATTTTTATACAATCCTCTGCTCATCGTTGCTTCTTTGCAAACTTTTGAAAGAAATATTTAAGAAACTAATCAAGATTTCCATGCTTCACCCTTATAGATAAGTCTATAGACTTCTGGGCTATTTTTTTTTTATTTCAATTAGTATGGGACATGAAGGAAGACTAATTTATTATCTACAAATGTAGCCTCAAAAAATGAGCTACCTCCTGTTAACATTTTTTAGGTGTAAATGTCTTGATCTAGACTGCTGGACCAAAAATTTTAGAAACATTGCTTGACATGTATCCTGTTAATATTTCTGCTTTAATACCAATCTTTAAAACCAGATTTTAAAAAAAAATATTTTCTGAAAATACATGCTTCAGAGTTTGTTTTTAATTGGGAGATGAATGAGCTGAAAGATCAACAGTGTTAAAATATTGCAAAACAATGACTTTGATTCTCAGTTGCATGTGTATTTATATGGATTTATTTTAGAAAGTGTAATTCTTTGTGAATATAAAACCTATTTTAAGAGTATTTTCATTTATTAAGTGGCTAAAAGGTGAAAAACTTGTTGAAGGAATGAATGAGCCCAGTCTGACCTTTGATTTTAACTTGTTCTTGTCATCTAGACCCAGCTGTGCGCCTGGCGTTGTTCAAAAAAAATGAAAATAAACATCTCCCTGTGAAACCACCAAGGAAGACACAGCCTATAAATGCTGGATACTTTGAAGGTATGAAAAAGTATTTCATTCAATGCATATAAGCATATATATCTTGCAAAGTCTTTTAAACAGGCCTACTTGAAATATAAAACTATTTTCACAAAACAGAAAAAGACAGAAGTTTAAGGACCTTATCTGTTCCTGTATATCTCACATTACAGCAGTGAAACATTTCAATTTCAACTTCTTATGGAGAGCAGGAGGTGCTCCTAAAGCCTAATTCATGGGGAGATGGAGGTTAACTTATTTGTTTATTGTTTTATTATTAAATCTTCATCATAAAATATGTCAAAGCATGTCACAGAGATATAAAATACAAAGTACTAGRAAAAAATGTTATAAATGAAGTATCACTTAAAATTCTTCGTTTAGTTCTCACCTTTTTTTGAGACTAGTCATTAGCTCCTAAAAATCCTTAGCATATTTTTTGGAAGGTGCTTTTGTAAATATTCCCCAAAAATTTACCATTTGGCAGAAGGCAAAGAAAGAAGATTCAGCTTGTAAATATAAAATTCATTTTCCACAAATATTTAAATACTGATATAGCTGTATTACTGTTGAAATTCATGTTAAAACTCTGCTTGGTTTCTGTATAATTAAAATAAGGCCTAGTCTATTTAAAATGCCTTTGTTGTAAGACGATAATAATCTCCAGAGAATTGTTTTTATTTTTCATTCCTTTTGCAATTGAATGGTGTAYTCAGAAAGTTCTCACCTTTATCTTTTTATCCTTTTCAAAGACAAAACCATATTCTATCTGATCAATTCCCAATTTAATAAATTAAAATTACAAATTATTAATAATTACTGTATTAACATTTACTGTATGAGGATAACAATTAGAACATGTCTGAGAGAGGTGTGAAATGAATCTGAGTGTACTCAAACTACAATTCAGTCAATTAACTTTGCTGAATGGAAGTCTAAACTTGCCTCATATTCATGAGTCCATGCTCAAATTAGTTTGGAAACAATACTTAATGAGTTCTGTAGAGGAAATATTTTTGCATTATTATTTGCCTCGGATCCAAGCATGACTTTACCTTGATAACATAGAGTCTTGTCAATACTGCACCTGATTGGGCATTCTCAGTATCTCAGATAGATTTCTGTGGCATATGCTTATATATGTCAGAATGCATGATATCCTGAGGAAACAGGACATGCACGCTACCTGTGAAAAGTGAATGTCCAAGACTAGAAACAATGGTAGAAGTGTTCAAAACTATGTCAGGGACAAGCCTGATTAGAGGTGCTGTACCCTAAAGTCAATGTTCATTTAGCCTAGCTTTCCTGCCACCAGTTTATCTGTTCCTGCCTGGAAACATTTCCCTTCATTTTCAAAAGCTGATGTACACATTCTAAATATTATTGAAATTACTTTTTGAATTTATGGAGAGATACCAAGGCAGATTAGATATCAAAAGGCAAGCAMAGTGGTGGCACTCTTAATTACCTTTCATTTCAAGGACCATTGTACTCCTCTGGCCAGCTAATAAACAGAGACTTTTTTCACCGCTCATGGGTACTCATATACAGTCTGCTGAGCTTTCAACAAGACAAGCAATACTTTTATGCTTGATCAGAATATAAAATTATGCTTCTACCAAAGGCATTGCTATTTCAGACATTATGTCCAGAAAATTCTAGGCTGTGGATTAGAAGCAGAACATTTATGTGAGGTATCATCAGAAAAAACTAAAAGCTTCTAAATTTAGAATTAGTAACACTTTGCACCCGCATAATAACTTCACAGTTATATTATTAATGATGTCTTCCTTTGTTTCCAATTTCCCCTCTCACCTTTTGAATGTTTCTTCCTCTTTTGCCTGCAGTAGATTTCTTTGGGACTGTTCCCAACCCCTTATTGGAGTTCTTTCTGTGACAAGAAGGTGTAATGTTTTCGCTCTGTATCCATAAAYCTTGTAGTCACTGTATTTTAAGTCGAGAGAACATAGACCTGTCCTTTGTATGGTGGAAATAAACTTCCTCCATTCGAGTCTTTTTACCTTCATAGACTCTTAGTGTGTCCTTGGGTAGAAAATTTGAACTCCAAACTCCATCTTCTTCATAAACTAAATTAAATTTATATATTCTATATATTTCTTCTTTATATACATTCTATATATTTCTTCTCTATTTCTTTAAATTGGGAAATGGAGGGGAGAAGTCATAGCATCAGCAGCAAAACAGCAAGTACACATGTGTTATCTGTTAAATAACAGAATCACTACTTTTGAAAGGGGATGCCCTAGGAAGTGAAACAATTAGAACAGTTTTAATTTTTCAAACTGGAACACATCATGGTAAGGAATATTTAAGAAAAAATCTATTTAAAATGTACAATGAATGGCTTTTGTCTTCATCATGTTTTTGTGTGTAACAGTTCAAATAAGACAAAAAGGAATAAAAGCATAAAAATAAAGAGTGAAAAGGAGTGGGTTCAATATCTGATGCTTTTGAGTTCCCAAGGTTCTTATTCTCTCATTGTTTGCCTTATTTTCGTGCAACCAAAGTTTTGATAAGCTGATATGCAATATGCTGATAACAAAATTTGAAAATTTGTGCATAAATTTAATCCCATAGGATAATGCACACCTCTCTAAGTTGACATACATGTTGTAGGAAACTATGTTTTCAAAACTTGAGATATTTATTCATAAATATTCAAAATTTGCTCATAAATTTTTAATGACTTGTCATGCTTTACTCACTGATGTTAGACAAATCCCCACCAGGAGCCATTATTTCACATTTGTATCACAATAGCACACAGAAGTTAATCAGAAGTTAATACATACGTCATGCCAACAGCATGAGGAAGTGTTGTTCTCACAGAGAAGAAATTACTATTTGAGGATACAAGCAGCATGTGAAGGCACAAAGCRTGGGAATGTAAATCAATGCATTACTTTATATGTATATGTACATGTCAACACATTTATATAGAAGACGTGTCTATACTCACACAAATTTATAAGCATATACCATGAATATAAGTAGGTATATAATAATTCAATAAGCATAGCACTTAAAACTTCTTATTTGTATATTTTGAAAACAAAGTAATTTATGAACAATTACTCTGTGGTGTAATTACTAGTATCAACGTGCATTTTGTAATCCTAACTCTCTGTCAGATGCAGTTTCAGTTTCTTTAAAATCAGATTAATGCATGTGGTCATTGTATAGTACAGATTCATTAAAACTATTATTTAAATGAATAATATATTTGAATATTTATTTATTATATATTGTGACATTGATTTGAGTAGGTTGTAAAGTAAGCCACAGAATATGTAAATAAGTAAATAAGTATTTTACTGTTTCTCATAACAAACTATACCCTGATCAAAAACCTGAAGACAGACGAAAGCCTGACTTTATTCACTTCTTATGATTTGCTGAACGTTTCCTGGAATTGTGTGTATTGCACTGCTTTCTTTGATGTGATAGGGTTATGCTTCCATCATGGCTATTGAGTTTCATTTAGTGTCAGGTCGCTGACAAACAAAATGTGCCTTCTTTAATGAATATTCTGGTTCAATGAATATTCTTGGAGGTATTTCTGTGATTTGTAGATGGTGACATTTCAAAGATCCCACAATTTTTGAAACTTTATAAGGAATACAGATAATTGTAATAATTTTGTATTTTGCATCAAAGCATATTTTTTAGAAAGCTTTATGACTGCTTGTCTTCTTTTTGTCTAGAGGCTATTTTAGTTGTTAATTTAATGTAAAATAGTCTTGATTGTTTGGGGTAAAGTACATCAGGAACTGAAGGAAGAATCTATCCTTGACTTCTCTTGGGAAGTTCCAATTAGTCCTGGCTGAACGTGTAACAGAGCATCTCTGCCATCTGTGGGTCTGAAATTACAGGATCTGTAATTTCATTTACATGGAGGAACRATACTTTTCTAGCCAACAGTGTGAATGCTTAGTCCCAGTACAGCAGCTGAAAACTAAGGAATGAGCCCTAAGGCTAACACATTGTTTTGCTATGAGCTTTGCAAACACTATGTGTCTTTCTGGGTCCTCTTTAATCCAGTTACTTCAACAGTTTTGGTGGGTTTTCCAAATAATTTTTGTTCAGTGGAATGGGAAGCTGAAGCTGAATTCCAATCTGTAGAGCAAGCTGAAAGAATGCAGTAGATGAGCTGAAAATCCATTCAAACTGTCCAAGCATTATTTAGATATGATTCACTTTATTTCACAGAATTTTAGAGACTGTACTCTGTTTCATTTTGTAGGTTGGGTGATTTATTGTGATATATATTATGTTTATTTTTAGTCATATACATATCCATCAGTGACACATCTATACCATACACCAAAGTGAAAACACTGCAATGTGATTTTGCCAAAAAATGTGCACAGTGATTTATGCCTGGAAGTTTAACTACATTAAAATTGTGCTGGGCTGTTTTCTGGAGTTTGGGAACCTATAGTTCTAATTATCAGTACTGTATTTCCTGTTGTGTTATGCTCATGGTGACTAAAGAAAATGTAGCGGGTATAGTGTTAATACCGATTTCACCAATACTAATTTGATAATGAATAGATTATGCTTTCTCAGATGACTTTTAATTATGGCAATATTTATTTATTTCTGTTGAAATTGTCAGTAGAAATAACATATTTCAAGAATAAGAAGTAAAATGAGCTTGTGATTCTATCATATAAATGGAAGATAAATATCAAGGAATCCACTTAGTCATCTGTTTTCCCACTTTCTAATAGTTCATAATTGTGAACCTCCTTGTAGTCTCAAGTGAAAAATATCGAAAAACATTCTTATAGATTATTATTACTAACTGATATTTTACTATCTACTAATAATTATTATTGATAATTGAAAGTGAACATGTGAGACTGGAAAGTTAGAATTTAAGGTTAGCTATTAGTTAATTCTGTGAGTTAATTAAAATATTGTTGCATCATGGCCAACATAATTTCTCAGATTTTCTGTATTATAAAATATTAATACATTGAAAAAAAGAATTGATT